TAGGTAACTATATAAGACAGAAAAAAAAACTTCTATATTACCTTCACAACAGACATGGCAATGGCTACAACAGTTTTATGTCCTGATTGTGATAAACAAGAAGGTATTGTACCTTGTCTTGGATGTAAAAAAATTTTCTGTGTAAAACATTTTCAAACTCATCGTCAAAATCTTTCTCTTGAACTTGAACATGTTGTTACACGACGTAATACATTACAAGAACATTATTATAATACAATTGCTCCAACATTTGAACCAACAAAACTTGAAGCATGGAATACAATTGATCAATGGGAACAAGAAATCAAAGAACAAGCAAGACAAATTGCTGATGAAGCTAGAAAACAACTTGATCAATATTCAAAACAATCGCGTACTCAAATTGAACATAAATTAAATCAAATAACTGAAACTATTCAACAAAAAATGGAACGAGAAAATTTTATTGAAGAAGATATTGAAAAATTAGTACATCAAATTGATGAAATTGATGAAGGTCTTCAAAATAAGAAATATTATCCACATATTGAAATTATTTCTCAACCAATCGATTGGAATGCATCAATACAAGTCAAACTTTTACAAGAAAATGAATCAACAAATGAAAAATCAAAACCATCTTCGTCACCGCCTCCAATTGCATCTCCAGTCGTTTCATCAAAGCCCAAATATCCATCATCAATTCAACGAAAATGTTATACATGTGGAACAGATACATGGCAAAAAGAATGTAAATGTTGTGGTCATACTTATTGTGGTTGGCATTTAAAACGACATACTATTGATTCAAAAAAACATTAAATATTTATTATACATTTGTTTTATCTAATTAATAAGAAAATTTTTCTAGTATGAATTTTTTTAAATAAAAAAATAATAGTATTGATATGTTTTTTCTTTACTATGTCACAATAAAAAAAAAACAAAATCAATAATAATGTATTTCTCAAAATAATTAATTTAACTATTCATTAAGATGAGCATCATAGACAAATATCTAATTCTTTAGAAATTCAGACTTAAATATTCGTAGTAACTTGAAAGTTTTGCATAAACAACATAGATAAATGTCATAGAAATGACTTCTTGTTTTTCTTTTTACTTTAAATCACAATATTGAAAATGTACTTTAATTAATGATATTATAATAAAATCATAGTATGCACATGCTGTGATGGCCGAGTGGTTAAGGCGTCTGACTTGAATCACGAAGTGTTAGTGACAAGCTATCAGATGGGTTCTCCCGCGTAGGTTCGAATCCTACTCGCAGCGCTTCTTTTTTTTTTCTTATTCTTCTGTCAATAGAGCTATAGTTGTCTTTTACTTTTATGATGTTATTCAATAATTCAATACGCAGAGAGTTATAAAAATTATATTTTTATCATAATATTTTCTTTTTTGATAAAATTAGATGTATAAAATTACATTTTCATTTGAAAACTTGGAAGAAAAGAAAGATACTGAAAAATTGATTGAATATTTTGAAAAAAATGTTTTTTGGTATTAAATTACTGAATGATACTAACTCTAATGTTCACTAAGTATTTTATTGATCTCTCGAGACTCAGTGATAAAAGGAATGAAATTTTATTATGATAATATAATTAGACTAATTTTTTTATGTATATAATACTACAGAATAAATAATTCACTGTAAAATGAGATATTATCTAGTTTTATATGATTTATTTTGGCTCTTCAAAATACATGTTTCATGTTTTCATCATAAATTGCAGAACTATATCGAATTTTTTCTAATAATAGAAGATATATATTCCTATCTGTGTTTTTATTTTTAATCATATACATGAAAAATATCATGTGATAGAATAAATCATATTCATCATGACGACAAACCATTGATTAAACGTTCAAATTAACTGTAGAATTTTGTTTTTTGTCTTTCGGATAGATAATAATTGAATCTTGTATTGACCTTGTCTTATATGCGTTTAAATAGATCAGTTACAAAGTGATCATATTTGACAAAAAGAAAAGTATTAAATTATGATGCACATAAAACATCCGTTTTGTTGATGAAATATTTTGTTTGTAAAATGCAGACAACCATAAACTATATGAAACGGGAAAATCGGCTGCTACTACAGTGCAGTTTTTTTCATAATTGCATAAAACGATGAAAATACTAAGAGAAAAAATAATGAATGTTAGCCAGGAAAAAACAAACAGCCATTTCATAAGACTACTTGTTATGATGATATATGATGTTTTATATTTGGTTAACATGTCGGTTTCAAGAGTGACAATGTACATTCTTAGTGTAGTTAGTACCTTGTAATGATACAAAAAAACATAATCTATTAACGTGCTGTGATGGCCGAGTGGTTAAGGCGTCTGACTTGAATCACGAAGTGTCAGTGACAAGTTATCAGATGGGTTCTCCCGCGTAGGTTCGAATCCTACTCGCAGCGTTTCTTTTTTTATTTCTAATTAATATTTTCCTTTTTTTTTTTCTATCAGCAAAGTTTTAATTGCTCTAACCTTCAACATGTTGTTGAGTAGTTCAATACAAAAAAATGTTATGGAAATTACATTTTTATTAAAATATTATCTTTCATAACACACACTAGACGTATAGAGTTAAATCTTTTGTTTGAAAACACAAGACAAAAGATACTGAAAATTTTTTTAATCGTTACATAGTAATTCATCTATCTTTCGAAACTAAAACATGTAAGATATTAATTATGATTGAGGATAATTATTCTGACCGTCGAAAAGTGATTGTAAAACTTTGTATTACACTACCAGTAAGTTTCACGGTAGGCTACTATAATTCTTCATCCGGTTTTGACAGACCGCTATTTTCTCTAAGAAATAGTCAGCATCTCTCTTCTCTCCTAATATTTTCTTTGTCTTATGAGATTATGAAAAATGACAACATACCAGCGCTCTTTTCTTGGATCTCAATATTATCATAAAATAATCATACTAATCTTTTATATATATACATATATGAATGTGTTATCATAAAATAAACAGTGCTTTGTGAAAATAAAATGTTGGCTGATTTTGTATAGACTTTTACTTTTGAAGCTTCATATTCAACATTTCTATCATAAATTTCAAAACTATATTACATGCTCTTTAGAATGACAGAAGATGTATTTATTCCATTTCGTGTTTTCTTAAATCATATACATTGAAAAGAAAATGTAATATAGTGAACCACTGATATCATGACGAAAAATTATGAATCAATAGCAAAATGATCGTATTCCAAAATAAATATATTACATTATACTACACATAAAACATCCGTTTTATTTAGAAAATGTTTCCTTTACTGGATTAGATTATATGTAATGATAAGCTATTATTAACTGAAATATTTGATATTTTCTTTTTGTATTGCTTTATTATATTATAATAGTAATATTGTAAGTAATCTTGAAGATTTCAATTATGACGATAGAAGAACGATGTCATTATTATCAATAGTGACTTGTAGGGATGAAAAAAATTGAATTGATTGACGTGCTGTGATGGCCGAGTGGTTAAGGCGTCTGACTTGAATCACGAAATGTTTGTGACAAGCTATCAGATGGGTTCTCCCGCGTAGGTTCGAATCCTACTCGCAGCGTTTCCTTTTTTTTTCAATAAGTTTTTTTCCTCGTTCTGCTATCATTCTTAACATGTGATGATTTATTTTCATACAGAAAAAAAATCACTCAATCCTTTTTGTTTGTGTATAAAAAAAAAAGGATTTTTGAACGAACAGATATCGAGAGTACATCATTTTTAATGCAGAACAATTAAAGGCATAAAGACACTCAAAAACGCGTTTATGTTAAAAAAAAAGCTTTCAAGTTTTGAAATAATAATGATATTATTTAGTCTATGTGTTCTGCATTTTATTATTATTATTATTTTTTCTTCAAGCTTGATAATATAATTGTCATCAAATGGTAGTTCGTCATAGTAGTTCATACATAGAAAAATGAATATTCTATGATTTGAACCTTATACATTGTAACCTTCATTGAACTTATTATATTTCTGAACTCCTAACCATTATATGCTAGGAAAAATAAATAGAATACGATCAGAAACAACAACAGAATCAAGGACAAGTTGAATTAAATATCATTATTGTTCTTGATAACCAACAGCGAGAAATCGACTAGCAATAATGTTGAAATCGGAGTCATATAGATCAATTAAATCATCGTCTAACATACAAATGTAATGAAACTAGTACTCATCTATTGTAATATATTATATTCAATTATAGATAGACAAAAATAGTGCGGAAAAAAAGAAATTAGTAATCACAATAGAAGAGGAAGAATACAAAAGAAGAAATCGAAACGAGCTTTTCTAATACATATATAAAGAATAATGAAGTAATGTTTTCGATAATTAAAATTCTCATGTCTTATGATTTTTCTGTAGTTGAATTGTCGATGAAATTATGGCTAATGATTGACATTTCTCGATCGAAAATATCATTAACGTTTTGGCATTGCTCTTCTTCATCTTATTGATTTTTAATAGAAAAAAAGCCATCAATAAGCGAAAAAACAGAATATATTTAATTTCCGTATCGAATTGCAAGACATATAAAGTCTAGACTTTGCCACATATATCATTGATGTCTGTTAAATGAACTAAAAATTGTGACAAGTACTTTCTATTTATTAAAACTAAATCATTTGAATAAGATGAAGAAGAATAAAATAAAAGATAACTAATGAACCAAGATATTCATAAGAAATTTTGTTATCTTTCTAAAGTGAAAACTCTAACGTTGTTTTTCTTTCTATTTCATGTGAAATAAACATTTATTATAAACAGTGAACAATGTATTTGTGAATTTATATGTGCATAAACGAACATGATTTTTTTTTCAGAGTGTTCTCACTTATAAAAAGTATTGTGGTTTTCTTTTTTTGTTATCGATTTTTTTCTTTCAAAAAAAAACAAATTAATAGAGTTAGAGCAAGAACAAAAAAAAAATAGTTCGAAATTTTTCTTTTCTATGTGCATAGCACCTCAGTAGTTTTTGATATAGTTTGTGATGGTAATGAACAATAAGCTACGACTGGTGCTCGATCGCTATGTTTTCGTCGTCGATGTGGTTTATTTAATGTATTTGTTTGTGTTCCAACTGTAATATGACATGAACTATGATTATCTATTGATAATTTACTTTCGTCATTAGCTGATTCTCGTCGATCATATTGTGGTAATAATTCTGTTGTAAGACGTGATGATGAAGAAAAAGCAGTACCACCACCTGTATTTGACATTCCACCTATTGGACTTAATTGTGATAAATGTGAAACAACTGATGCTCGTATCTGATAATCAGCTTTTCGATATTTTGAATCAAGATTCTTTATATAATTTTCTGTCATGCGTCGATTTCGTGTACTATGATTAGGTCCACAAAGACGTCGTTTTGAATATCGACAACAAAGTACATCAATAAATGATGAACGAAAATTTTTTGACATAAAACCATAAAGAATTGGATTTGTACACTAAACAAATAAAAAAGGAAAAATTTTCTTTTTGTTGATTTTTCAAAAATTTTAATCTTATTACATACAGAATTCAGATAAGCAAAAACATTGGCAAACATTGTTAAAATATCCATATATGTAGCAAATGTATGACTTGTATTTCGTGAAAGTATAACATTTGAAATAAATAATAATTGCATAAAAAACCAACATAATGCATAAGTTAAAATAACAGCTAATATCATACGTGTTGCACGTCGTTTACTTTTTCCAACTGATTGACCACGAGATCCACGTAAAAATTTTAACATTAATCCATAAAGAATAACAATGATTGTTAATGGAAGTGCATATAGAAATATAACAAAACCAAGCCAATACAAACTTGCTTCAATAGGTAATATTTGAGTTGGACCATCACTACTTATAGTATCTGTATTATTATTATTATTATTTAATAGAAAATTAGTTTTAGAATAATTCATTGTTTCCAACACAGTTGTATTCTGTACTATGGATATATTATCAGCATCTAATTTTAAATAACGTAAAAGACAATACATAGATACAGGTGATTGATCACCTCCAAATTTGATGACAGTAAATAATGAACCAATAATCATAGATATACAAATACCAATTAACCAAAGAGCTCTATAATGAAGAAAAAAGAATCAAACAAATTTCACTATGAACAATAGTACATGAAGTAAAAATATACGGTGATTTTTTATAATGAAAGAAACGAAACCCCTTTTTTTATAATTTTAACCTCTAATTAAATGTTCTATGGAAGTGACTTTGACCTATAATTATTTTTTTCTATCTAATTTGACAAAGATACACAATACTAATTTTAGTTGTATGTGAATTTTTTCTAGATATATTAATCAGTGTTTTTTTTTCGAGATTATAATCAAAGCCCCTGAGAAAGAACAATGAAGGAAAAAACTCATACATAATAGATATTGTCGTATTTTTTATTGTTCGATAATTTGCAATGGAATCAACAGCATGAACAACAGCAAGATAACGATCAATTGACATGAATACCAGCAAATATATGCTCATAAAAGCAGATAAGTGATTAATGCATTGCGCTAGAATAAAAGAAGGACACAATTTAAAATGAAAAATAAAGAAAAACAAAACATTAAATAAATAAACTCTTTCAAATTTACATTAGAAAATTTTTTTTCCTAATTTACCTAATTTACAACCAACTTCTGCAAAAGGCCAACGACCAAAAAAACTAAATAGAGTCGTTGGTATACAAACAATAATAAATAAAATATCAGCAAGTGCTAAATTAAATATTAATAAATTCGTTGGCGTTTGCATGCCCTTATTAAGTCCAATGCCAATGAGCACTAATGAATTACCAATAAGACCAAGTACAAAAAAAGTACTAAATAAACATATTTTAAGAATACCCAATTTAAATTCATGTGCAATCGTAACACCACTACTGGTCTCTATTGTTGTAGTATTATTTGAATATGCGTGGGTGTTTAAGTCCATTTGAATTTAATAATAGATAATAATATGTTAAATAGTTATGTTGTTTCTGTAGACATAGATAACTATAGTGAAATAAAGAGACGATTATATTCTATAACAAAATAGAAATAACTAAAACTGTTTTTTATTGATTATATATTATTTATTAAGTCAGACTTCAAGGTAATTGTCAACAGACAAGTAATGATGACTGGTCTAAAAATCCCTAATCTGATGAGAGTGTGTGGGAGAAAAAGAAAATGTCTCCTTCGCTCGTCAAAAATACAAGATGTGCACTAGCACTATGATCTCTAGCGCCAGATAGAGCGCCGATTCCAATTCCATTAGTAAGCCGAACGCTATGATCCCAATAGTCATACTGTTAAGATGAAAACGGCATAGTAGCGATCGTAGGGTTGAAAGAAAAAGTGCCAGAAGAAAAAGAGCCACAAGAGAAAGAAAACAAACTGGCTCGTTGACTATGTTACAATACAAAACAGAAATTTGAATATTGTTGCTACTAGACTCTTATCGGATAAGCTCGCATTTTGACATATACCTGATATAAATACTTCATATATATATATCTATATCTATCGATAAATGTATATGAAATAATCAATCGACAAATGACATCTGGATAGAGTAAATCTATATTGATCATTTGTTGCAAACAAACGAACAGAAAAACATAAAAGAAAAAAAAAGGGAATAATTAGATTTTTACGGTTTCTATAAATGTATGGGCAGTCAGTTCTCATCATGAAATAAAATGGTTGAGTGAATAAATAGTTTTTATTTTTCATTGCTCACTTTGATATAATACCATGATGACTGAAAATTTTTCTCTCTAACACATTCTTATCGTACTACTATAGTAAATAGACTTTATCGACAAACATCTGATGAAACAAAACAAAAAAAAAAATAAAATTTTTGGTCGTTGTAATTTTTATCATAGTATTTTTATAAAAAAAAGAATAATATACCACCTATATGTAATTTGATGATGTTTACGTACAAAGTGATGAAAGGTAATAGATTATGAGAAAATTTGTTTCTTTTTTGTTTGACGCGCTTACACTACTCTTTCACTAAGTGTAATGGGCTTTTATTTTGTTTCGTGTGTAGTTAGATAAAAGTTCAACATATGCATTGACAAAGATAGCTGGAATATCAATTAGGTACAATTTGTAAAAGAAGAGTTTACCAGAGAACAGGTAATGGGTATACGCTAATGTATTACTGTTCTTCTACTAATGTATCTATACACTAATCGATATGAGTCGGCATTATCAAGTTGAATAACAGTAGAAAAAGAGCTGATGGCTGATGCCATTCATCCATTTATATGACTTCTCTATGTTTCTCATTCGATGATTGTGTTTATATCTATTTGGACATATTGCTTGTACATATATTCATATATACACACGTCATTATTGCTAAAAGATGTTATTTTTACTTATCCGGACACTTCTATCGTCACCCACCGTTTAGCCAATTGTTCAAATGGCAGGCAGCTGCTCTCTATTCTGACACTATGATGATGATGATGCTGTTATAAATCCGTTTCTTTTTCTCTCTCTCTTCATTTTGCTCATTTTAATACACGAGGAACTGGTACGACATTAACGATGTTTCACATTACTCAAAATTCCCTTTCGGCAATATAGAACGACTGTAAGAGAAGTAGAAGAGGATATTACTGTTGTCTACAGGCGGACTAATGAAATGAAAACAGACAATATTCTTGAAGATAGGGAAAAGATTATGCATACACAATATATAATTATGCATACATAATACTTTCTTAACATACATTCTACTAAATGAATACCTTGTTTTATCTAGTTTGTCGTTCGACTATATTTAAGATGTTTTCGAATGATTCTCTGTTTATCATTATAGACATCGATGATGATATATAGATTTACAGGCAAAAAAGATATATACATATATATATATATATATATGTAATCGAAAGAATAATATCAAATAATTTAATAGATATATTATATCAATAGTTTTTCTTTCAAGCAACTATAATGATAACGATATTAATGAAGAGAACTTTTCTTTTGAACAAAAATACATAAGTTATGTTAGCAAATTAATTTAAAACTAATACTTTTCTTTTCATGTTGATGAAGAGTTCTCGTGTTCTTATTTATATGATTGTCTATGTGGGCATGTTTTTGTCTTTTGGTCGAATGAATTAAATAAATCATGGAATATAAGCGAACAAGCGTGCAGCAACAAAAAGTGACACTTATGTGCTTGTCGAGCAGTCTAATTAAATGAAATTGTCTATATGGATGTATGTTTACTTCTTTCTTTTTTTTTTTCTTCTTTTTATCAAAAACATCCACGAAAGATAAATATGAAATAATGTCCATGTTAGTATTTCATGCATCGTTTTATCGAATAGTAAGATGCATACATATCCGGATTTTCTACTTAGATACAGACTAAGGAGAAATATGTCTACACACATGTAGAAAAGAAGGATGAGTACGCTTCCTTTAAAAGAAAATTCGATTATCGAAACGGCAAAGACAGCTCGTCAACAGCAATAGAACATCATACTGCTGTTTTTTTTGTATGCAAATGAGACACCCAGCTAATTTTGTCTTTTTTTCCTTTTTTTTACTATCTATATGAAAAGATAGAATCAGTGTTGAATTCATTCGGAATGCGCGTGAGGGCAAAGAACAAAGACTGAGTCCTTGTTCTTTTTTTTTTTACCATCCATTATCGGTTTGGTTCTTCAATGTCGTATATATGCATTTATTTCTTTCGTTGACGTATACGATAGTCGTTCATCCTTTTTTTCTCCTCTCTTTCGATTGAAAATATTTGATTTGCAAAAATAACAAAACTATTTGACAACTTATTCGGAAAATTCCCATCCATAATATTGATCGATCAATAAATATGATAACTAGGTACTAATTCATTTGAATAAATGACTAAATTTTGTTTTCTAAATCACGTTCCTTACATAAGAGATTTCTTCCTCTTGATGATGAGAAGCTGGATAAATAACGGAAAAGAGAATTCATTCATCACGCTTATGATAGTGCTAAAATGCATAACAATATGATAAACAAATAGAGAACAACATCATTCATTATAAAATATAACAATGTAAAATAAGATATCCGTGATTAATAAGAAAAAAATATAAAAGAATATATTCACCTAAGTATTGATCTAAGATTTTCATAATAAATCATGACTATTTAAGATGAATCAGGTAATATTTGACTCTTGAGGTTTTACAATGAATTGAATTAAAGAGGGAAATAAAATATCTAATACGTGATAGAAATTCTTTTTTTTTTTTGTTAAGCAATAAAGAAGAAGAAAAAACTTTCTTATAAGTAACAATCGTGAAACTTAATTGTTAATGCAATCAAAATTCAATTTAGTAATATTAGATGTATCATTACATATTCACTATGCTTGAAATCATATAAGTCAAAATACCATCAGTGGAAAATGAATGAGTTTCGGATGATTATTGTTCGTTTGCAATACTAATGACTATATAAATATTTTAAAATAGAAACAATTAATCAATTCTTATTCACGATAGTGAAGTGACTACCTAACTGTCGGAGTTAAACTTAAGCAATCAAGCAATTATTTCTATTCTGTTGTATTTTTCTGTAAAATAAAAAATGTTGATTTGACAACTATCAAATAATAGTCATTTATAAAAAAAAATCCCATGACAATTTCAAGATTAATAATGTTATCAATCAAAAGAAATACATGATGACCTTCAGAAGAAATAACAGAACTTGTTCACCTACTTTTTTTTATTAAATCACATGCGATGTCATAGTTGCAATAATTCAAGTCGATAGATTTTTCGAAAGACTTAACTATGATAAACAATATCTTCTTTTATTTATTGACATATAACATAAGGATTTATATTCGAAATAATATTTTAATTTTTTTTTAATCAATTAAAAATGTTACAGTATTTGTTTTTTGTATTTTTTAAAATGATTGATGTTTGCTGTCAATATGCAAATTTGATTTTTCAATTCAGATAGTTAAATTGACATATATTATATTTTTAGAAAAATCATTTCATTTGATCATGATGAATTTGATTATGGTATACATTATTTATGAACTCTTTAGCCTTAAAATAATTTTTACGGACTAAATTTTTAAACACGACATATTACTTATCTAATATCTATGTTTCACATAAGAATAAAACTTATTCTCAATCACAATATTTTCACTGAAAGAATTTCTTCTTATTGGTTTCTTTCAGAGTTCATGCTTGATGCAAGTCGTCGTCGATTGCCTTGAGCTATACGAATGTAGTTCATATCTATCGCATACTGTCTGTTAGTGTGTATGCATCGTACATACTTGAGTCTATTCAATATAGTTAAGTGATGACGGACAGTGAAACAACAATACTTGAAGCATTCAATGAAATCTCTATTTTAGTGAGCACTCATATAAAAGCAGCTGCTATCTTATAGTATAGATCGAGTAATGTGAAGTTTGATACATCTATGTATTTGTCAAGTATTATCGATCTTATTATCATTATAATCAGTTAGGTACGTTATGTATTCAAGTATTGAAAAAGACAACAAGTCTATAATTTACTATTTTATATATAAAAGAAAATTTTTCTAATCGAAATGTTTTGTGTTATTATCCTTAGATAGTAGACTTACATTTATACTAATGATCCATGAGTTATATGAAACAATATTTTTAGCAGTTATTAATTTAATCAAATAAGATTGATTATATAAATATAGAAACAATTCTTGCTTAAGAAAATATTGAGAGCAATGAAATATGATCATTGTGTTTTGTTCACATCAATTAGTCTAGTTTTAATCCAAATGACATGTCTGATATATATGACGTGTGTTGTATAAATTGTGTTATAAGAACAAAGTCTATTCAGCTTTATTTTAAGAAACTAATGGGATTACGAATTATATGCGGAGTGATGAGTCAACACAAAGAAC